ATCTGAAGTAGCGACGCTATTTGTGTCAGCCTCCGTTGTCGATTGCGTCTGTCATATCGCCATTTTAGGTTAAACGAGAAATGTTAGAATCAAAATATGTACATACCTACATACATACATATATATGTAAGTACCGTGTGCCAAAATCCGCATCGCATGAAGCTAAGTAAGCATTGATCTCTCTCAGGAACGAAGGTGCAGTTTCTTTATCCTGGCAGGAGCTAACTGCAAATGAGGAAAGCTCCTTGCAAACGCTCCAGCTTCTCGTGCTGCCGAGGTCATTTGCACCCGATTTAATGAATAATTTGAGGTGAAAAACCTCGTTTCCTATCAATGGGCCGATGTCACTAAAATACTTTAACGAGAGAGTTTTCTATCAAAACCCTTGCAAAAAAACTTGTCGCTGCCAGAAAACATTAGTCGAACGCAAACAAATGAGGAAGGAATCTAATTGCCATTAAATAGGACCAGGATCAGAAAGCTTTAGTACGTTCTCCTAGATTAGATGATGCATAGTATCTAAAAACCTACTCTTAAGGAGCGCTGCTTCGTTTTTTGCATAGGCCGTTGATTCTCCAACAGGTCCCAGAATAAGTGTAAAGTGAAGTGTATGAAGAGCTCATAGCTCAAAGATAGACAAAGGAGCTGGTACTGGTCTCTTTTCAGAGGAGATTCAGATCAGGTATCATATCGCCAGCCTGACGACTTCAATATCTTTCACGCTAAGATCTTTGCCATAACGATGATTGCTTGTCTAATACCGAATAGTAAGGCTGTATGAGGAAAAATCACTACAAATATTCGTTGAGAGCCAAGTGGCATCTAAAGCGTTAGGACCCAAAGCAGTGGAAGGCAAGTATTATACGGCAATATGTCTTCGGTTTTCTTAAATTTGGTGAAACTAAGGGAACGAAAAACTAAAGAGATGGCTACTGCACAAGAAGAATGAGAGACTAGAGGAATTTCCTTTTAGACCTTTTTATTTCTTTCAGTGTAGCCTACCAGGGTCCACTTAAATATGTATTTCAATAATAACGCGATAGATACATAGCTATTAGTTCTGCGGCCGACAGAGGCGGGATTCATTTAGTCCACACTTTCATTACCAAATTACTGAAATATTAACCTGGTTGTCTGAGCAATGATCACACGAATAGTTGGAACTTTTACCAAACTTCACCAAACATTTAAGATTATTTGAGGTTTTTAATAAATTAGTTTTTTCATTCACTTGGCTCATTAAAATTGAATCATCAGTCAATTCATCAATTTCATGACTTGCCAAATAAAGCTAAATATAAGTATAGTGCAACTTCACTCAGCCGTAGCGCCACTTCTCACAATTATCAAAAGTTCTCAGAATGTATGATTCTAGCTTCTAGAAGAGTGTATGGCCAATATAAAGAAACACTTGTTTGCAATATATGTATAAACAATAACAACAAAAAGCAACACTGATTGTTGATCGGACACACTCCACTGAGCAGAGGAGGAGCCGAGCATCGGAGCTGCTGAAAATATGAATTGCCCTAAAGGGAAAAACCCAAAAATGTAAATGCAGTAACTTTCAAATCAGACACACAATGAATGAAGTGCGGAGAGTTAAGGGGGCGGGGGGGGGGGAGAGCCAAAAAAAAAAACGATTGCACTATGAACGTAGTAGATTTCAAGATAGAATGCAACAAACTCAATTGTCTTCTAGATTTAGCGCAGCAAAAGTGCTTGAATTCGCATTCGCAATGCAGTGATGAGCAGCAAATCGCGCAACTAAAAGAAAAGAAAAACTTTAACATACATACAGTATTGGCCATAGCTATAGCACCCCCATTTCAAAGTGTTAGATTTTTTTTTTTAGTATTTACGCAGTTTTATAGCCCATTCAGTTTTAAACTGATAATGTGCAAGTTTCAAGTGGCCAAAAATTACCGTTGATTTTTTAGATTATTTTTGTCGCATTTGCCTCCATATGACGAATAAACACAATTGATTTTTATATGGAGGAAACCCCTTCGGCGAAAAAACTTCTAAGAAATCAACGGCAATTTTTAGCCAGTTGAAACTTACACATTGCCTGACTAAAATTGAATGGGCTATAAAGCTGTGTACTCATAAAAATTCGAACACTACTGAGAAAAAATTTGGGTAAAAATTTTTTGAACTTTTTGTAGTCTATTAAAAAGTTTTAAACTTGGGTTTACATATATAAGCTTTGTTAGAGAATGAACTGTATTTTAATTGAAAATTCCTAAATATAAATAAATAAACATGAGTGGCAAACAATATCACTTTGAAATGGCGGCGCTATTGTATTGGCCAATACTGTATGTACGTATGTTTGTAAGCATAAATGTAACTATTTACACATGGCTGAGTTCCCGGCAAATAGGGCCACGATTTTAATACATACATACATATTTCACTGATATGCATATGTATGAACACACACACACATTTGCATATTTATGTACATACGTATGTGCAGGACTTTTTATTAAACTTTGTAGAGATCAACGCAAGAATCGCGCTCTGCTCGTGTGTAGGTGATGCTTTTTTTTTTTGTTGTTGTCCCCCAAAAATAATTTGTAAATAAAAATGTATGTATGTACATATGTGTGGTGGTTATGAATGCATACCCCTAGCCATGGGTGTTGGTTGGCCAACAAAACAGCAAATGGCCGGCGTAGTGCGATTTAAAAATAGCGTCACAAGCGAACACAGTCAGAGTTGGACACTCTAAAAAGTTAGTGTGGTCGGTAAAACAAATAAATATTTAAATGCATAAATAAATTGATGAGGAAGAATAAATAAATAAATTCTCAAAATGCAGCGCCAAACATCTTTGTTTTCTCTATTTCTCAGCTTTCGAGTACATCATAATCAGCTAAACTTAATTCAATTTCTACTTAGCGACTTATGTAAATACACTCTCACACACATGTTTACTTACCCACATATTTACTCGTACGTAGTAGGAATGCCCCCAATGGTGCAATATGATGCACTTCACTACCTGCTATTTTTATAATAATTCAGTTCAACATTTTGTGCGTATCACTTTTATTAGCTCATAATTTGCAGTGCATTGAAAATTGTTACATATTTTGATTTTAGTTGTTATTGTTTTGTTTTTTTTCCCCCAGTATGTTGCATCACTATTCGTCAATTTTGATGAGCTCAGTGATGTGATGTGGTTCGATTCGATTCGATTGGTTTCCGAGCCTATGTACGTATGTATGTTGGTACATACATATGGTCATCATACATATTTACATATGTACATATATGTATGTATTTACTCTCATATATACAATGCCAATAAATTGTTATGGTTTTTCAATTGAATTAGCAAATAGCAAGCTGAACTAATGTTCGAGTTTTGTTTATTCGTTGGATTATTCGCGCGGTTGACTGGATGGGTGACTGACTGGTTGGCGAGCTGATGGACTGGCTAGTTTGCTGGCTGAGTGGGTAGTAATGTAGCTGTTGCCCATTTGTTGGAACGACTGGCGTATGATCAATTGAGTGGAAAATCGTGCATTGGAAAATCAATCGAAATAAAAAAAAATGTGTTTTATTACTCTTTATTCGAACACACTCTGCCGAACAAAAGTAACATTGCGTTATGCAAACTTTTTCCATACAAAAAAAATTGTCGAACATACTTTGTATGGAAGAAACTGCGTGAAAAAAATTGCCAAAAAACAACTTCAAGCTGGCTTATGCTAAAATTGAATAGGCTATAAAAGTGCATACATACTTAGAATTTTTCTAAGAAATCTGTTTAGAACGATGATTGCCCAACGCTGGCAGAACTCCGTTCCTGCGCTGAGCAGTCCTGGTTTAGAACGTTGCAAATTTATTGAATTTTTCTGAGTTTTGCACAAAGTTTAGAGATTTTATTTTTATGTTTTTTTGTTGTAGTAAGAACTATATTTTTATAAAAAATTTGCGGTAAGAAATTGTAATAAAAAGCTTTGCATACTTTGCGAAAAATTCTCTGTGTCAATACTTTTGTCCATGAGTGTACAGTGTGTGTCGTTTAAAGACTAAAAATTTTGAAAATGGTTAAGATTCTATGTCAACTAGGGATGTAAGCGAAACATCGACATTCGGTGCATCGTTTTTTCCAATAACACTGGATCATGAATGTTAGTTTGGTTTTTGTTCTCCAGACGCCACAATCCAGTTTCAATGTAGAATTGCTCGGTGATTCCGAAAATCAGGTTAATTTTTTTTTCTATGGAAACGTTTTCGGGATATTTGCAATTTGCCGTTATTTAGCTTAAAGCAAAAATTGGTTCCATTTAATCACGTATATCTTCCGAACCAATTTAAAAATCTTAATATGAAATACGGCAAATAAAAGCTAATGAAATTCTCCATAAACCATATATACATCACTTTCCGATTGGTCTGATAGTTTCGGACTAATTAATCATTCCAGTTTTTTTTTTTGTTTTAATGAAAAAATTAAAAAAAATCAAACTTAAACACCGAGCAATTCTACATAGGAATTGGATAGTGGCATCCATAGAACATTTTGTTGTAAACCAGTGTAATCAATGTTCAAGGTATCGTTTTTTTAGTCCTTAAGTATGGACATAGTTTTTGGTACCACTAGCGTGGATATGGGGTCTCACAGACTCCTAAATCTGCGGGAAAATTTTACATAAATTCTTAATTCAATTGAAAAGCAAAGATTATGAAGATGATGAATAGGTTTGGAATAAAAGAATTTACATGGCATTTTCAGTCTTCTTCGACATGAGTTCCTGAGGTCTGGGTGTGGCCCCTCATCAATGCTTAAACTTCAATCAAAAATCGATGTACTTATCGATGCAGGGATGCAAATCACTTATCAAAATAAATAAAGCACCAATTGTTTTTTATTTTATTCCAATTTTTATTCTATGTTTTCTATTTCGTTTTGCTTTGCTCTCTATGTACATATATTATTTTATCTTATTTTGATTTTTATTTATTTTAACTTCCTTCTTTTCGTGGCAAAATGATTCTTTTTTCCTCCACTGGGCTGCTCCACGCAAACCTCACAATACCACGCATTTACGGTCGGTGACACAATACCGCAATGGCAGCAACTAGCATAAAAACTAGCATTTTTTTTCATAACATCAATTGCCATATTGCGAGTTGCGATATCACTTGTGGGCGTTTTCGCTTTCCAAAAACAGATACGCAACCGATTGTTGGAAAGTCGAAGACATCTGTTGTCATCTATGAGTCTAATAAACGACAACTGGCACAAGAGGGCAACAACAACAACCAGTCAGTCAGCCAGTCTGCAAGTCAGCCAACCACCATTGCTGCTCTGCTTCTTCTCCGACTTCTTCCACTGCGTTCCAATCAATGCACTGTGGGCCTCAGAGAGTTGAAAATTGTATTGCCATCAAGTATTTTGACAAAAAAACTGTATCTCCTTTCATAATTTTCGTAAGATACTCGTATAAGATAAATTCCATCAGCGTTGATTCGACGCCGTCAGGGTGTAAGCTCGGTTTAAATAAACGGCGACGAATTCTAGCTCTATTCAACTCTCATCATCTCCGATAATAACAAATGTCCGTCGGCACACCACTCTTCCCACGCGCCCTACACCAACCACCTGCACCCGCTTCACGGCAGCTGTCTCAGCTGCTAGCGCTCACTTCACTTCAAATCAACGCCGCTAGGCAGACAAGCAGATTTGTGCTATTGTACAACAATTGATTTTTATTAATTTGATTTTGCTTTTATAAGCAGATTTTTATTTCGCTATTTGCTAGGCTACCTACCGCTTCCCCGCCAACTTTTTCTCCATCTTCGAGAGCAAGTGTGTGCGCCGCCGACTCCCACTGCAAACTCCCACAAGTAAAGCCGCACGCACCGATTTTTACGTACATATGTATGTATGTATGCATGTGCGCCGTTATTCAAGTTATGAGAGCATCTGTATGTATGCATGCTATATATGTACATATATTTAAATTTTAAAAGGTGTGGTTTCCATTGCAAATGTATGTATGTATGTATGTATGTATGTATGTCGTCGACTTGATTCGTCAAGTGCAATATTATTATAGCAACTTGAAATTCGAGTTAATTTATCCAACCGCATGCAATATATGTACGTACATATGTATGTATATGTATGTATTTACATACATGCAGAACGACAAGTGTTCCCGACCAGTCTGCAAGCCTGCGTGAGTTGGCGGCTTCAGCTCAGCGGAGGAGTGGTTGTGGTTGGCAGCGAAGTAGAACTTTGTTCACCAGTCATTGTTTGCCACTTTAACGCATTTTTTCAACTGCACCACTGTGTGTGTAGTTACTTATTTAGCTATCACTCAGTTGAAGCGCAAATCTGCCGCGCAAGAATAATAGAAATTAAACTATAAAAAAAACTCTGTTGTTGCGTTATCAATGTTCCACTACACTTGAAAACACACAGTCTCGCGAGTGTTGATGCTGTTTGCGTGGAAGTTCAAGTGCAAATGCATTGTATTCATATATTTGCTCATTCAAAAGTACTTACATACATTTGTACATACCTATACACACATTTAGATAGTGGCGGCAGACATAATTTACTTTTTTGTTTAATTTTTCAACTAAAGTTACATTTTTTTCCATTTAATATTAAACGGCTTTTGAGTTTATTCATAAAATATATTTTAATTCTAAAACAATCGAATACTTGGATTTAACTACATACATACATACGTACACATGTATATGAAATTAATTTATTCACAAATTTAAAAAAGGGTGCGTTAGCAATTGCATATAAAAAAGCTCATTTACACTTATGGTGATTTCATTTCTACCAAAAAATGTTGCCCTTGCACGGTGCAAAAGGTGTTTGATGTTATCTACACTTAACCCTTTGAAAATGCATGTTTTACTTTCTTGTCAATCTTCTTGTCCAGATCACGCATTTCATCATATTATCGTTTTAAGCAAACATCTGATTTTTTGTGGTATTCTTGGAAGCAGATGATACTGGCTTTAACCAAGTGTCGAATGCCACACGTTTTCCTAATGACAACAAAATTTTTTACAACATTGCTCTCCTGAAAAAATACTCATTTTCCATGGTACAATAATTTTCAGGTATTGTCTCTCCAGAGCGCAGTTCATTGTTGAATTTTTTACTTTTTTTGGCTTCTTTGCTTTGGGTTTTCGCCCAATTTAATTTTTATAAATTTTCAAAAGATATTCAATCGCTTGTTTTGTATGGAAAAAGGTTTCACATGAAAATGCATTTTAACAATTTAGATTTTTTGTGAGAAAAAATTAAATATATTTTACATTTTCGAGACCAAATAATTTGAAAATAAATGAAATTAACTGCTCTACTGATACCTTACCTGTTCAATGTATTTTGCAAGTACCTACTCAATAAAAACAATATAAAATATTCGCCGACTTTCAGTTTTACCTGTAAAACTTGAAATTAAATTTTTTTTTATTGTCTGAGTATGAAAATTCGACATGATCTTTTATGTATATGTATTTACACTTTGATATGTTTGTAGTTTTGTTCATTGCCGGAACAATAAATTAAATTAACACGGCCTCTGCTGGGGCAATCAAATGAAGTGTGCCTACAGCAACACGTGCTGTGAAAGAAATGTAAAAAAAATACACTTATGTACATACATACATAACTACTTCAATGTACATATGTACATACATACATACATTTTCATACACTATATTTACGCAGTTGTGTCTGTTTGTACGCATAAACAAGTTTTTGTTTTTTTTTTACCAGCCAAAGAAAAAAGCCACAAAATAGGCAACAAGGTCAATTAAAT